ATACATACATACATACATACATACATACATACATACATACATACATACATACATACATACATACATACATACATACATACATACACACACACACACATACATACATACATACATACATACATACATACATACATACATACATACATACATACATACATACAATGCAAATAACGGCCATTGTATACGCACATAAATACATAACAGATGCAAACACGTGCACAATATTGCAGTGCCGCGGACAGGATTTATGGGGCTTAGGAAGTATTATCCACTAGACCCTTATAAATTGCAAATTGTGACTGCAAAGGGATCCGGGAATTTTTTCCTAGTTGTCACTACTTTATCCGCGGCCGGGGATCGCTGCGTCACATATATTCACAATATAGCCTAACTTAAAATACCTGACCTGTATTTTGTATAACTGTATATTGTGCTTAAATCTTGTCCAATGATTGAGAGTTGTGAAAAGAAAATTTTTGTCTTCGTGAATTTTATGATATTTTAAGATATTTAATAAATGTGAGTTCAAGGCCTAACCCTTGTTTGAAGCAAAAAATAAGTAAGAATTTATATACAAGGGGGTTTGGTAAACAAGTATTCAATCCTATTTCATACCAGTCCTTGGGAATCTATGATCAAAGTTTGTAGTTGTGTTCAGATATAATTTGACAGAAATTATTTGTTAAAATTATTTAGTGCAGTTACAAAGTGCTCATTGAACGTTTGGACTAAAACAATAATTTGTAATTATAGAGAACTCATTCAAAGACATGCTGGATTATATCGTTGTGGTACATTAATCCATTTAAAATTATTGGAACTCATTCGTATAATTCTATACTTTGGGACATACGATATAACATTTAAGATTATTTAGCATTTAATTCACAATGTTGTAAGTTCCTCCTCAATTTTCACATTGTATACAAATGAAATAAATACGCTTGTTGAATATTACTAAATTGTTGGTTTTACTTCATTTCTGTTACATATTTTAAGACCGTTGATTTATAACAATATATTTAATGTTGTTGTAAAAAAGAATGTGTTTGCATTATTTCAATTCTTTAGACAATCGAAAATGTTCATTGGTTTTGATACATGTAAGCAGCATGAACTTTTGCTTACAATAGGTCTATATAATCCTGCCAGTCAGGGTTTGACGATTCACGTAACAATGGTACGTAGTAGTGCGTGAAGAGGTTAATCATTTTAAAAACTGTTAACTAGTATCAAAGTTGTTCTTTTACCAGGTCTGCATGAAAGAAGTAGTGTCAATAAAAGTTTCAGCGTATCATTTTTACCGTGTGATAAAATATCAACGCCTTTCAAATTTGGCGTTTGATCCACTGTACGATACACAAGTTTATGTGTCCCGTCCGTGTGTAACGTATGATTTGTAAGATCGAAACTTTCCACCTGATTTCATGACTTATCGGAAAATGACGTTTAGTGAGCAAACTCACGGCATCGGAACCTATGCATCTGTGTCATTTTCTCTGCGGCTTGTTTGTCTTATTTTCGGCAGACATTGAGCTGGGGTTTTTATTTCCGCTTATTAAGTGCGATTTCTTAGGGGTTTTTTTTCCCCAATATATTGTCCTTAAGACCGGAAAAAATGACTTACATATCTAGCGGATGGATCCAGTCATACAGGTTCAGTTCATATATGCTCTTACCGAAAAAGTAGTCTCAGTGTGTAACAAAGATTAATGGTAAGATTTGATCTAAAAGCAGAATGAAAACTTATAAATAAAAACGAGAAAAAAAGGTTAAACAACAGGCTTATCTTGCTTACAGAGAACAAACCATGAGAGCGCCATTTCCTGCCGGGACAAAATCAGAACCCAAACCGGGAGCAATGTACAACATGAAGTAGATCTATTTATGATTCTGTTTTTGTTTCAGCGAAAAATTTTTAAGGAATAAAAACAGGGGAAGAGGCAAGATAGGTACTAAAATAGATGTGACTATAAATGGTAGAAATGTAACAATGAATTATAGTTCTGTTTGACCAATCTTTATATATATAAAGTGGGAAAGAACTGGAGTATCTTTAAAATGTTTGTTTCTTTAAAAGTAACACAGAATAAGTTAGCAATCAATATATACCAGGGTTGGCACAGACTTTGAATTATTTCAATGAAATTTTGCTTTTGTATTCGAAAGTATGAATGAATTTTCGGAATAATACTGCATGATATTCTTAGGAGTGTAAAAATAACTGCGAGAAACGAGTTCATATTTTCACACACAAATGCAGTAACCATACTATTATATACTCATTCTTTTATACTACCTTAGGCTAATAACAAGCAAACACTAAAAGAAACAAAGTAACTGAATTTATGATGTATTCCAAAATATAAATCACAACCGTACAATCAATAATGCATAGTAACAATTTCTCAGTTTGGTTTTTCTGCTTGTAATGGACTGGATTTTGTTTTAATAGTTGAATAAATTCCGTACGATGTACAAGTGTTTGGGAAGCCGACTGGTATTGAGTTAACCGCACCTGTTTCTGTTCTGTCATTGATTGTTTGGAATCAAAATGCAATAATGTGTGGGACATGTTAATTCTTTTAATTTAAATTATTAAAAACACGGTTTAGAATATCACATTAATTTCGTCTTGAGTGATGTAACAAGATTCTGCATATGTAGTCGATATTACCTTACAATTTTGTGTTGTACATAAAGTTTTGGAACCCAAGACATTTGGAGCCATTTGTTGAACTAAGAAAGTATATTTTGAGGAAATTCATGATGCAAAATTTAAGTATATTGTTTTACATTCTTATTGCCCTGTCACTCGCATAATATTGTTGTATGGATACCAGCTAAGTATGGGACCCATATGGCTTCTATTGCTATCTATATTCAAAATATTGTACCATAAACCGTAAACGGAAAAATATGCAAAACAGATTCATTTTGACAGGAAGCGGAGATAACGCGATTTCGTCGTCTTGGTTTATTGGCTCTGATGTTCTTGGGGTTTATTTTTTTTTACCCAAACAGTCAGTTTCATTAACTTTTCCAATTAATTATTTTGACTGATTTGTAAAATGGCACAATGGCACGTATCTGATAGATATGCGATAACCAGTGGTATTAACATGCTTTTCTATGCAAGTGTTATCGGCTACAGAAACACTGGTTATCTTCAGAACCATTTTATTTGCGATAAGTTACGAAAATTTCTCCTAAATAATTGCCTAATGATCAAAATGGTATTTTCAATACTGTGTCTCTCACGTTTGTCGTGGACATTGTGGATATCACATTCATTCATTTGCTTTTTCTGGAAGCTTCATTTGTGACTCAATAAACGCGTCCACATTCTTTACTTTCTCATCTCTACTTTCAAATAGACGAAACAGCACTAATAAACCAAACACTCAAGCATCTGCTACATAGCGTAGATTGTTTAAAATTAATGTAGTTCCTATTATACGATACTACTTTTAGAAACGCGTGTCGTGCCGTATAAAGCCTGGCAGCATGAAAAATACTGCACGATTGTAACAATGAAATGTTCACGGAGAAAACAGCGAGCACATAAGAAATGGGGATATTACCTCCTACCCCGACCACTGTGTGGTCTTTCAAGTTCTTTTGATAGATTATAAGTTGAGATTTTCCTCCCATATGCAGAATCCCCATATTCAACCAGACGCACACTTGCATGAAAAGACTGGTTTGAATTGGGATGACCCTTCCCCCCACCCACCACAATTATAAAAAACTAGAAGTTAGAAGATGTTTTGGTTGCAGTAGCTTCCAGAGAGAGAGAGAGAGAGAGAGAGAGAGAGAGAGAGAGAGAGAGAGAGAGAGAGAGAGAAATTTTTTTACATACATGATACACGTGGTTTGTTATCATATCCGTGGTTTGTTATCATATCCTCGCTGCCCATCCAATATAAGTGGACATGGAAATGCAGTCATTGATGAACTTTGACCGTTTATCGATTTCTTTAAGTGTAAGAATGGGATTGGCACTGAATTAAATTGGACACTCCAATCGTATTTACTTTCCTGTAGTTGCAGCCAACTGCACAACAACTCTCGCTCTCTCTCTCTCTCTCTCTCTCTCTCTCTCTCTCTCTCTCTCTCTCTCTCTCTCTCTCTCTCTCTCTCTCTCTCTCTCTCTCTCTCTCTCTCTCTCTCTCTCTCTTATACATATACCAGGTAACAAAGAGATATAATCGGCCATTGTATAGCGCACACAAGTATGGATATATACTCACATAAAAATGTAATATCATATATACAAATACATAAACGATTACGCAGTGGCGTAATGTTTGGTGTCATAGACTCGCAGACAGAAGGATATATATTCGAATCCTGCACAGACCAAAGATTAGCCATGGTACATTCATTGGCAGGACTTTGTACTTTGGGTGCCTTGTGACCACAAAACCTTTAAACGTGGGTATAAAAATTTGTCTGCAATTTGCTTTACTGATGCGACAAAATATATCCATATAATCAAACTTGAAGAAAAGAAACGTTAAAAACGTAAAGGCAGAAAATAACTGCTGCTTACATTCCATAAATATGCGCTTACAATTTAATACTAATAATATTTTATTCTTCCATATTATTTTCTTTTTACCTCAGTCATATGTGTCTTGGTTCCTGTTCACGTCTCCAATGTAATTTTTATTTCAACGATCAGCGTTGATTGTAAAAAGTTATCGCGTACCGTTAATGTGACTGTTTGAATGCATTTAATTCATCAATTGAAAGCTTAAAACGATTGGATTTTTATAAGTTGATTTAACAATGTTTCAGTCATATCGCTACGATGTCTTCAGTATGGCAGTTTACAGTAACTCATAGCACTGGGGCATCATTCCGCAGACATTTAGAATAATGTCCTGCCCAGTCATATTATCCTGACACCAAGACGACCATTCATAACACTAATCATTCAATGCCGAGCACCTAGCGAGGCAGCTGTCTGTACCATTTTTGTAAATCTTTTGTAAGACTTGGCCGGTGTTCGAACCAGCAACCTATCACATCCGAGGCGGACGCCCTAACCACTAGGCGACTGAAGCGGCCCCCTTTGCCTTCTTTAGAACTAGGAGATATGCTGCAATATCATGGTCTGGTTGTTTTTGCACAACATAAGTATTAGTTCCCTACCAAGCGGTAATTCAAATGCCACAAGTATCACAAGCTGAAGAGTTACAGCTCCTGTCTTCAGGTCATAGGCTAGCTTCTGTTGTTTTATTCGCACGGCGTGTGACTAGTTTGTATGATTATTCCAAGTGGTTCCGAAAATACTGGATGCAACTGGAAAAATTGTCCGAGACACTAACCTTTCCTCATCCAATTGATAGTTAAGTCGGTAGACGTGGTTGTCTTCCAAACACGAGATGGGCCCCGAGTGACCAAGTGGTCTAAAGCGCTCTCCATTACGGATCACTACCATCTCACCTCTGTCTGCGTGGGTTTGAATCTAAGATTCGGTGAATGAGGATATATCAGAAAACTTGCCAGTAGCTTCTCGTGGGTCTGTGGTTATTTCCGTGGATTTCCCGGTTTCTTCCTCCACCATTAATACTGGTCGCCATGTATAACCTATCATGTGCTGAAAAATGGCGTTAAGCCACAGAATAACCACTCCAAACATGAGAAAGAATGGCACTTGACCTGTAGACTTGTGCCGTGTACATACAAATTGAATTAGTAGTCGTATATAGTTTTTCCAATGCTTTTTTATATTTGGATTGAGATTTTTCAACATGTACACAAGCGGCATATTACATCGAGTACATGTATCGTTGTGCATTGGCAAATATGGTGTTGTGCGATACCTCTTGATGTTAGCACTGTAATATAATTTTATGATGACCTTACTTTTAAAGTTTGTGTACTTATCGGAATGAAGACTTTGAAGCACAACGTGATGCACAATATACTATTAAGTATGGTCTCAATTGTATTCCTGACAGTCTGGCTTTGTGACGAAATATCCTGTGCATACCTAGTGAAAAGATGTTTAATAAATAATATATTTTAGCCACCCTTAAACATCTAAAGTGTCAGTAAATTAATGCAAACCAGCTCCTATAGCGGTGCGGTCATTATATTGACGAGTGGTGATAGAACATTCGTTGAAGAGTTTCTAATTATACAACGACGGTATTTCAGGATCCATATGTCCACAATGTGTGCCATGTGTTGCAAGTATAAGTCGGTCCTTTAGTAGAGCAAGGGTTCTTTCTCAGCACAAATAATTGCAATCATCATGCATAGCGTGGGGCATCCTCAGTTTGAGATTTGGCGAGGACCATCAGCAGTTGTCCATGGCCAGCAGTACTGTCTCCTAAAGCATAAATTGCTAAATTTCCTGAATAATTCTAAATGGTCTCTCCCAGCACGAAAATAGGATCGATTAGCCTTTCTTGCATCGTACAGACATGATCCTTTTTCATTATAAGAGGAACCTTAAACTGAACAACTCTCCAATCTCTGACTGCCGTTGCTGCAACACCAGAACAGGAGCCAGTTTCATCTACAATACCTTTAAAAGAAGGCATTTCATAAAATTGCCGGACAATATCTATTTTGCAGAGAGCGTGTAAGTTTTTTTTTCTCTTTAGCAATAGTCTTCATATCTTATTCTACTAGTCATGCTGCCTACATATGGATACCGAGAGAGGTTTACATCATCCACATTCTTGGAAACTGGTTTGTAAATGATATCAAAATTATTGGCAGCTAGAGTTGTCAACCATCACTGGCGAATTGCATTTCTGGCTGATGTTGTTAGTGTACTCAGCAAAATAATGTCCATTAAGGTGGTCACTATATTTTTCCTTGATTACCAGCTTTAAAGTCATTAACTCCTGTCGATAGGCTGAATAATTTCCTTAAGGCTATTTTAACTCTGCTGGCAAAGATGACGACTCGCTTAATGTCATCTTAGATCTAATATAGAACTCCTGCGAGGTTATATTTAATGGCTACCTTGTGCAGTTTAAAAGGCGGTCTCATGTCAACGTAACCTATAACAAGTTGGTTAAGACAGGCCATCTTTTACCTGTTGAAAAGCTTCCTTTTCCAGTCCCAACTTTCATGAACAGTGCTAAAGTTTACTCTGACTCATCCCCGCGTCATAAAAAGTATTTAGCATTAATTCCGATAGTGGTTTCGCTAAGTTTGAGAAGCTGTTCACAAGCTTGCGGTAGTTGGCAGCAAGATCAGGCATTGCATCACTACCTCAGGGCTTTGTGAAGCTGGTAAACGCATTATTTTCACGAACTTGGCCGGGCCGACACCAACTGATTCTGATAAAACATAGGCGACACAAAGTATCATTTCGTTGAAAACGGTGCACTTCCTTGGGGTTAGGTGGCACTCTTTCATCAGTCTCTGGTACGTGGCTGGTACGGGTCATCATTGGATATCGGATCCGATGTGATGTCAATCTTACTGACAATGCCATCTTCTCTGTCCATTCCAAATGTATGTTCTTCTGGCATATCAGCCACACAAACGGGTTGCAGCGCATGCAATGTAGCTCTGGTGGGATACTAATCGGCCGGGCAGTCCAATTTGACACATAAACATACCCTACCATTCCTCTTGTAGTTGTAAGTCACCAGATCTGGAGAAGTGTCAGTCTTAATTCATGGTGGACATAATTGAACCGTAACGCAGAGCACACGTTGCTCTATAAGGTACCACCGTAGCAAGGAAAGTTCGCAATATTTTAGTGCTATTTCTTTTAGCAACAGTGTTATACGACTGCGCTATTCAAAACACCTAAACAAAATTTCTCTTCGCTAACTCCTTTTCTCGCAAAGTCAAACACATAAATGTCAAACACCACGAAATCGGCAGTTAAGTTGTCTGTGGAATTCTTACTCCGTACTTGTCTCTGCATTCCTCCAGATCATGCACAAGGTAGTTTCTTCATAGCAAACTGGAAGTCGACTACTGTACTTACTATCTCGTACTACTTATCTCTGGCAGAATGTTACTAGCTATTTCAACTTATATGAAACTGTCGAACAGTAACATTCCCCAATTCGCACACTCAACATTCACAAGGTCTGCAATGGACTCGGTTGGAATCGTCTTCAAATGCATGTCATCAAATGTCTGTCCAACTATTGATACAGTCGATCCAGTATCAGTGCATTTATATTAATACCATTGATAACAACAACACATGTCCTACTGGCTCTATCGTGTCGGTTCTTGTATGCCTAATGGAGCAGCCTATTCATGAGCCTACTGACGACCACCAGCCACATGTCATCAGTACACAATTAATAAAATCCGGTTCAGTACACACGAATGTAGTCCCAGTCTATTTTTAGATCACTTTTTCCTGTCTGAGTTTGGAGGTGATACTAGAGTTAGATTTTGGCATTCTTGGTAAGGATTTAAAGGCAATTGTTTATTATTTAAAATGTGAGCTTATGGTGTGGTTGTCTGTGTGTATTTCGGTGACAGTGCACATTGAGTAATAAGGTCATGGTGTTGATCCGGAAGTGAAATCTGTGTTCCGTTGCCTGGTGTTTTGTTTACAATTCAGCATCTCAAAAAAAAAAAAACAAAACAAAATGCAGGTCTACCCTTGACAAGAACTTCACCGTAAAGTCATCATTGAAGGTATTTTAGATTAAGATATGATTTGTATTGATTGTCACACAGTGGAAAGTTCAGTACTGAGAAACAAATGTAGAGCCAATATAGTAAAATTAATTGTGTTCTATGGCCACATGGCTCTTGAAGTCCCAATCGAGTTTCGAATGGTATAATCGAACACGACAACTAAAAGTAATGTGTCCGATTTACCTAAAGCGCCAGCATACAGGGTCCCATTTTCTCATAAACTTTGTACATGTATGTATCTTGTCATATTTTCATATGCTTGTTGTTGTCCGAGGTAATTGCGACATACTACTTGAGCATATTACCTTCATGTGATAACTGCCGAACAAGATCCTTTAGTTAATTGCACTGTGATGTGGTTGAAGTGGATGCCGTGTTGGGATATTTAGTCCTCGTCACGAGTTTTAACTTATCTTCATGTTGCCCGTGTTTATATTCAATATGAAGAAGAGCTACACTCAATTTGTAAAAGGTTTTGAGCGAGTCAAAAGTTGGGACTGACACATTCTGTTAAGGTTTCTGTAAGTCCGGTCCACAGCATAGCACTTAGTATATCATTTGTTTCACTAGGCTTCGCTAACCCGTGTTGGACGGCTATGTTTAATAATTCTTCCAGCCTACAACTCTATGTAGTACAAAAAGTTTCATCTTCTATTTGGTAAGTACTGTATTAGTCGTCTAAAACTCTTCTTCATACCTGCATTGCCATACACATTTTCCAAATCTAATAAAATCGGCCCAGCTTCTACCTCTCCAGGAACGTCGGATGGCATTGGATACATGGTCATAAAGATATTTAGCCTCTGCTAAATGCCCATCATCATACCTCCATAAGCCATTCACTCTTTCTGCCCCCTGAAAAAAACAAATATCCTCTACTAATGTGAGACCGTGACAGATACATGGCGATTGACTATGGAGAATGTTCTATTGGATGATGTTAGATCTTTCTTGACAGGAGATTCACAGAAAGAAGCGGCAAAGCATGCCATTCTCTTTATTACGTCTTCAAGCTTGTAAAGCTTAGATGTGAACTTTGAACTTCTTTATGTTTGAGCTTCATTCTTACGCACCAGGTGCATTATCCAAACAACGAAATGTATGTACACTAGTCCAAAATTTTGTTTCGTAATGATATAGTATTTACTAAAAGAGATATTGGGTATAAGAATTACTATAAGTCTAACTTGTGTAAATTTATCTTAAAGTTCGGAAATTCAAGAAATGCTTGAAAAATAAAACAAACGGAAAAAATGGAAACAGGACATGTTACGCAACAAAGATGCAAAAATCGATCACTTTGCAAGAATTATTGTTTTCATTATTGAATATTGCACAAATATCTACGTAGAATATATTTTGTTAGAATCTACTGAACATGTACGCTTACTTCGGGATAATGGAGCTTTTAAGACATAGCATAAAG